TGAAACTGCCCAACGCATGGTTGACCTCTGCATGCAATACCCTTCGCTCAGTTCTTGTGTCCGATTGTGTTCCCTTGCTGGACTTGTCGAAGATCACGTTAATCTTTATAAAGTTTTCCATTGTTCTGGAAGCCGTATTTTAGGTGACATTTAGCTAAGTCAATCTTTCTAGGCTCGTCCGGTTTTCGAAACTACTCAACTCTAAACGAAAAGAAAACGTTCGATAAGGGTGACGCGTCCGGAAGGATGCAGGGTGGGACCTTTGCTGACTTCGACTAGCAGCTTCTACGTTTCACTCGGGTTGCTGGGTGTGCCGTCGAAATTGCACTGATAAGATTGCGATTGTATGGCTATTTTACACCATCTCGTGCCGAAATGCGCCTTCTTCTCATCTTTGAGCTTTTCTTAGCTCTTGCTCTAGCTGCTGATGGAGATATTACACCGTACGTTTTCTGAAAATAATAAGTAAATAGCTCATATGTGACTTCTATTACGACATTTGGAAACATTCTCCAGCTCTCCTTGTAAACAGCAAAAATATGCCGAAAAATGGGAAGCTAGCATAGAGAATGTGAAGTGCCCTGTTGTATCCCCAAGAATGCGCGCCCACACCGTTCCACCTCCACCTCATGTCTTCGGGACCGATGGTTTGGCAATCTGGTTTAGGGGGATGAAAATGCTGGTGCGAAACATTTCTCAGAACTACTGCACTACGTGACAAAAAATCTTCTCAATCAAAAATTAATACATTGCGGAGCGCCGTTATACGAGGGCCTCCATACCTTTTTTTATGTTATTAAATGGATCATTATTAATTATCAACACTTATCAGTGATAATATAATACTTATTCTTTCCTAGCTCTGAAAATGAGTGCAAACACTTCAGGAGCATTAAAGCAACAGTTCAGGGAGGGTCCGAAAATTTCAATGCCACTACTACTGAGGGATACACGAGCCCTAGTGAAGAACATATGCAGTGGAAATAATAAACGAACTTACCTCAGAAACTCAAAAACAGGGTGGAAAGTCCCTCAAACATGGGTGTTCTTGGGGATTTCCCCAATCCCGCCCCCTTGCCGGCCGTCATTGGACGCGTCGGCAATCGTGCTCGTTTTGGGACCACAGGGAAAATTGATTGAAAAATGGAGCGCGTTTACAGCGGGCACGTTCAGACAACTCGTCCAACGTGCGTCTTTATCCATTGCTGAGCGGCAGAGGGAGAGTACCTGTCTAAGACCCTCCCCGACGTTTTTTTCCAGTTTTTCATACATTAATCGTCTGGTTTTCATCTACAACTTCATTATTGGTGGTTTTTTCCCGCGAAACCGTTCCTGAACTGTTGCTTTAAAAAACGCCAAATAAATCGAACAAACTGTGATCTTTCGCTTGAATCGTGCGCCACATGGTGGCGCACGTTTTACGCAATGTATTAAAGGCGCAACTCAGGCAGAGGTCGTGTGAACGATCTTCTCCAGTCTGTAGTAGCGATCTCTAGAGGACAATCACTGATGTGTCACCCCACGCATTTAAATCCCTCTACAAGGGCACTAGGGCCTTGCATAGACAGCTGCAGTAGCTGCAATGGTTTCACCCTGTTGTCTGGCGTCCGCTATTTGCTGCGCTCTCTCGCCTCATGGGTACCCCCCCCCAGGAGGCCCGTCGCGCGGCAAGAAGGCAAAGTCAGCGGACGAGTCGCGCGCGTACTATAGGGATTTCGCGTCAAGTTAAATAGAGTGTCCCACTGCACGTCCTACATCGCACACCACGCGCTGCAACTCGTCCGCCGACTCTGCCTTCTTGCCGCGCGACGGGCCTCCCTGGGGGTACCCCTCGACTCGTACTCTCTTCTCCGCACCCAGTTTCTCATTGCCTTAGCGATTCGCAGGACGGAAGCGAGGAAGCCCTCAACCTGAGGTTGTACGAATTCCTTTCCGTTTCTCTTTATTGCCGGCGCATTTGCAGCAATACATTCATGTCCATTCACTTACCGCCCTACTCCTTTAGTTAAAGCACCACCAAGTCAAACTAGTGGGGTCACAGCGGTCGATACTGGAATTTGATAGTTGATAGAGTGTTTGGAGTTGCGGATGCTGAATTGGCTAAAAAAGGAAAGGAGCAAACAAAACTGTCGATTGAGCCATTTACAATATTCCTCTCTCCTCCTATATAACATAAGGAAGGGGCGGGACCGCACGAGTTGTGCGAAATTGCTTGTTCCATAGCTCCACTGATCGCGCGTATTTGAATTAGCCGCTACGTCGTAATCCACGCTGCGTATCACGGGTGTGCGCGAGGTATCTCGTCCATAAGTTAACATTAGTCGCCATAAGCACACTTTGTAAGGCCTTAACGCCATTGTCGCGCACTTTCGACGCGACAACAGCACATTTCTGATACTCGTAGACTACTTACTCTATTCCACTCACCGGATAGATTCTTCGACACGACATCTGCTGCAGTAATCGCTTCAAGGCAAAGCCATAAGACGTATTCAGGCACTTCCTTGGCATTCTTTTAAGTCTCTCATTCCTTCCTTGGCATCCATTCCTTAGCAAGGCAGAACCGGCTACACCTATGAACTCTGAATTTTGATGAAGTGTAGAAGTTTGGATGGAGCTTCATCTCCTCAAGTTCTGAGTCGCCAATGTGGCTCTGCTTCTGCTGCTCCAAACATACCCTGTTCCCAGACGGAGTTGTTGTCATATACTCAAAAGCGTGTCTTTGATCATCTGTTGATATCAGCTATTTTGTCAGCCATATTCAACTATGTATCAATTTTTTTTCGACGAATAATCAAAGTCCCACTTAATTGTCAATGAGGGTTTTGATACTATGAGGATACTCCGAATGTTTGGCTGCTTTGAATATTTGGTCCAAAGAGATAGGGTTTTGGGTAGAAATCTACGCATTCGGAACCTCAAACGGAAAGGAAAGGATCTTCGTGAAGGAGCGAAAGCTCCTTTCACATAAGCTGACTGTTTCTTTGATATCTTCTGAAAACCATTCAAATGTTTCAGAGCAACCGTAACGAGTACGTCGTCGTCGCCGACTACAAAAGCTCCAGCTACCGGAGGAGCAATCACCGCAGCACCCGCCTCTGCATCGACAACCAGCGGTACACCTACAAGCCCGGTGTCGACAGGCACCAAAGGGACAGGTAGCACTGTTCCAGGAGGCAATACCGTTCCTGTGAGCAGTACCACAGTTTTACAAACGTCAACCTCAGCAGGTACCACCACAACAACGCTACCTAAGGTGGATGTCGAATATGTAGGTTGGTATTAAGACAGCTCCGAATTATTTTTATTTTGCTCTCTGAATTTCCAATTTGAATTCCGAAAATCTCTGGGTGGGACTTCGAGAGCATTACCGGATTGATCTCAGCTTTGTGGCTGTCAGTGAAAATGTGAAAAGGGAATGGATGGCAACTACTATATTAACTTACTAGCATTTTCGAGGGGAATTCGAATAGTGTAACCTTTGTGGGATTTTCGATGAGAAAATGTGGAATTTGCCAACAAAAAAGGGCACGAAATTGATATCCGGTGGCAGGAAAAAAACTTGAAAGTCACTTTTAGCAGGGTATACCGAGTGGATTGGAGGTACATATTATTCAGCTCGTGTCAAAGTTTAGTCCATTTTGGTCGTTTTCCCCCTAAAATACGCAACTTCGTTTAAAAATGCAATTCAATAGGGGAAATAGGAATAAAAATGATCGGCATCACCCAGAAAGCAGATCATCTCATTTCCATTCTAATAAAAAGACAAGTGAATCACAAAGACTTGCTAAGTACTTTCAGTTGACTGCTCCACTCCGGTTATACTTATAGCAAACGACGCTCGCTAATGAGCCGTCTTAGGCACTTGGGAATTAAAAATAAAATTTCTTGAAAGAAAGCAATTTTGCAGAGCTCGACGAGCTGAGTCTGACGATATATTCTATTATAAAAAAACTGAAGATTGGTCGAGTTATAGCGAAAAGGCCAAAAAACACGGATTTGCGGTTTTTTGAACAATGTTATGGGAAGTGTATACTGTACTTTCCGCCGTTATTTTTCAAAAGAAAAGTCCTAGCCATTAATTTAACTTTTACTTCTGCTTCGAGTTTGCTAAACTGGACGATTTATTCTGGCCGATGTTTCGACCATTCCGTCAACCTCAAAAACCTTGCTCGATCGCGATTTGTAGTGAAACAGTAACTTATTCAGTAAGTATTTGTAGCGAGTCGTCTCGAAAAAGTTCTGTTGGTTTTCTTTTGATAGTAGATTTCAAGTTTTTTTTTCTCTTTGATAAGTTATTTAGAGACGCTGCCATTCTGTTTTTCGCTAGAAGAAGCCGCTCTCACTCCTTCTAAATTCACTGCCCACCTTACTCTCGAACAATTGTATCCTTTTTCAAAGTCTTGGATACATCATGCTCATCGAGCCCATTCCCACGACTTTTTTGTTTCGTCAAACTAGTTCAGAAGGGAGCTGAACCAGGTTGCGATATTAACTATTCATCGGTCTCGTTTCTAAGAATTATATAATGTGTAATGATGTTTCAGAAATTTTTTTCCAGAGAGAGGCTCGAAGAGGAAGAGGGTGAAGGTAGTTTCGGACGTTGACAACGATTATCTCAGGGCGTGGATCAGATTAGACGGGTTTGAAAGTGCTGAAAGACCCGCTGACGGCACGACTGAGCTGCAGTGTCGAAATATACGGAAGGGGCTGAAAAGCCCAGAAAAGGCAAGGAGGGCGTACCGCGAAAAGTGGCGGTCCCGAAGAGTCGCCTGCCTTCCCCTAATTCCTTCTATACATTGGAAAGCACTTTTTTCTTGGTCTTGCTGTGAAATTAACATGAGATCGATTCCGTCGGAAAACCGACGAGCCGCGGAATCGTGCTATGAAGAATAGGATCAAGCAAGCTATAAACTTGAAACGGCGCATGGACAAGAGGATGACGACTATTGGTCCGCGACAAATGCAGCTCTCCCACCCAAACGGAGTAATCACAGTGGGACAGTATCCACAGCGAGATGACAGAATGTCAACTTCTACAAATACTTCCAGCAAGGGTCATCATACAGGTTCCGATCCTTCCTCACGATCAAGCTAAGTAGCACACTGCAAAAACATTGGAGAACCAGCTGTGCTACAAGGCGACATTGTGAATATATTGCCCTCAGGCCTCTTGTCCAAACCACCATTTCTCCAACCGTATAGATAGCTTTCTTGAAGTGAAATACTTCGAAAGCCATCACGACGACCCTCGCCGAGTTTTCCATACAAAACTTCAAAAGTTGAAGCAGACGGATTACCCAGCGTAAGGAGAGCAATCCTCCCCAACATTCATCAATGGCGTTTTCTGTCGAAGACAGAAATCCGATCAAAATTAGGTTTAGTTAAAAAGAAGGGGTCTTAAGGTGTACAGCTTAGCCATCGACCTTGCTAGTGATGTTTCAACAGAATATCGAAATTAAAGCTACCTCATTCCTTATATTTTTTAGAGTTCAAACGGAAGTGCGATGTTGACGGCGATTGCGAGTACACTCTCGTGGCTCCTCGCAATGACCAAAGGTTCTTGGCCACCGAGAAATCAGTGATCGATGAAGAGAATGGTGAAGTCTCCGACATCTCGAGTGTATGTACATATCGAACTCAAGTATAAACCTGTCTAGTACTCGTTAGCGCCTTTGAGTAATGGATGTAGAAGTGGTGCATGGTACCCAACAGGAGGCCTATACCGCGGCGAGAAGATAGAGACACGGACGGAACAGCGGACGAGTCGCAGCGCATACTGTAGCGACTAAGCATAAATTTAAATGAGTTCCAGACTGCACAGTACGCGCCTCGTCCAGTGATTCGTCTGCGTCTCTGCCTTTTCGCCGCACGACGTGCCTCCTGTCGGGTACCCAATGTGCCATAGCTATGCATTTACTATGAAATCTTTCTTAACACATAACTTTTGTGATTCTAGAAAGGCCTAGATGTTCCTTGGCTTGAGCAAGGCTGATAATTTTGCTTTTAGAAAATACAGCAATTTCAAGATACAATCAACAACTCAACAGACGATGCCCAGAAGGAAATGCAGGAGCTCACTCGAAAACTGCAGAACGCACAAAAGTGAGTCGCACGTGGAAGCGTTTTTTATGACATAATTGTTTGCTCACCGCTAAACTACAGCTAGGACGGAAGCGCGTTAGTAGAATGTGATGCTGTCCATCATGCACACGATTGAAATAACGATCCAAATCCTATTCTTTCTAGCTCTAGAAAGCCTTCCATCTCACAATGTTGTATCTTGGAGCCGGCTGTTTCGGCAATAAGGGAGTGAATTGCCTATTAGCTGTTCCACACTACTCCTTGTACACGCTAAACCTCATCCAAACGCCATCATTAGTGTTCAAAATTGAAGAGGGGAAAGAGAAGGGGACACATTACAGAAGGGGTTAGCAGACGGTAAATGCCTCGGTTCTTCTCTAAGTGTGCGACATGTGTGAAGTTGACATCCTCACAACGGTGTACCAACCAAAAATGGCATCACTTCTCTGAGAGAACAAGCCAAAGATTAACTCATGACAGCCCTTTGCTTTCCTTTCAGGTACTGTGGCCCAATCATTCGATTTGATAAGGAATGATGGATATCCTGGGGTAGGGTTGTGTTTGTTCCGCCAAGAGGGTAGGTCTCACAAGCGTTGGGAACGACGTGGAAAAAAGCAGTGACGAGGTTTTCAGAGAACTTGGTCTTGCGCTACGGATTTTCCCAGAAAGGATTGCCTTTCGCCTTTGTGCTTTGTAGTAAAGCGTGTTTCTCCTCTAAATCGAGCCCCGGGATTAGGCCGACCAGTAGGAGGAATACCATAAGGAAGGTCGTAGGGTCTGCATAAATCATGTCAACTTCGTCGCACAAGTTATGCGATTAGGGCGCTAATCCTGACGGCCAACAACCATCGACCCCCGTGTCCTACGACCAGCAGGCTGGCAGAGGGACGAAGGCACTGAGAGGAATGGGTGATGTCGTGCTATGTTGCTGCAGGGGGATATTCCGTAGCGGATGGGCTGACTCTCGGTTCACTTAGGACCAACCATTCGTGTATAAAGCCTTCTTTCTTCTTTTTCAACGACAAATCTATGGCGCTACCCTCATTTACAGGGTGGTCCAAAATTATGAGGACCGCGTGCGCGCGCAGTCATATCCACTTTTTTCCGTATCGCTCCATTTTCATCTCGTTTTCTGTGCACTATGTGAAGGGTACAATGTCTTCTTCCTAATGAAACCAAATTTCATGAAGTTCTCAAAACTAGTGAAATAACTCACTTTGAGTCAGTCCTCAAATTGAACTCACTAGGGGCTCTGGCACGTTACATCTAGCAGCAGTCTAACCTATCAGGGAAGCCTTATGAGCAACAGTTCAACTCTC